TGAAATCATTTAAAAGCATATATAATATAGACATTTGACATATACAGTATTTATCTAACAATGAATGTGCAAAACCTATGTGAATAAAATAATTATACAATGCCTGCAGAATATAAAAGATCTAAATTAATACATACACTGTATGTATGATAACCCCGTATGGGAGTTTTCATTATTGTAAATATGTTGATTTTTTCCAAATTAATCACATACATTTAAGTATTTCTAATCAAAATAATAACAGAAATTTTGGGAAAACTTGACAAATTGAAAACTTTAAAAATTCACTTGAAAGGAGAAATGCCTAAGATTAGCTAGCAAAAACAGAAAAATTACAGAGTAAGAGACTAATGAAGGACTTGCTTTTCCAGATACCAAAACATATAATAAAGCTATCATGATTAAAATCACTTTATACTGGTGAAGAAACAGAGAGTAATAAAACCATATAGGACAAAAATCAAATGATATGATTACATAAAATTAAGCTTCCACATGATAAAAACTCTGAAAGGTCAAAGAATAAATGATAACATGAGAAAACGTTACAATACAAGTTAAACATAAAAAATTCTTACCATTTTTTAAAAAATAAGACTACTCCAATATTAAGACAAAGGATATGAACATAAAATTAGATGTTTGTTGAAGTATTGCAGGGCACATGAAAAATGAAGAATTTCTATTGATAATTCAGCCTCCAGCAAACAAGCTAGTGGTAGGGAGCCCCTTCCACCCCAGCCTTCTATCTGTTTGTGTGTCTCTGTCTGTGTCTCTCCCTGCTTCTGCCTTCCGTTTTTTTTTTGTTTTTTTTTTTTTTGTAATTTTTCCTTTTTTCCTTTTTTTTTGAGAGGTTTTCGCTATAGGGCGCGTGCGCTCGCCAGACAAACGGAGAGAGACATAGAGACAGAAAGCAAGAAATCGCCCCCCAGGGGGGATGGTCACGCTGCAATCCCTTCTCCTCCATTCTCCTCTCGGGATCTTGGGCACGCACACACACATGTGCCCGGCGTGAGTTCTAAGCCACCAGGTCCCGGAAGCAAACCGCGGTCAACTACATGGGAATCCAGCGACATAGCCATTACGCTAACTGCTGGTTTCCCCTTTTTACATTTTTTTAATGGCAAAGTTTCTCTCTTGCTCTCAGCTCCACCTTTTATCTTGTTAATTATCGCTCTGGTCCTCCACCCAGGCAGAAGAGGCCAGGCCTTCAGAAGAAGGTTCCACATGGCTCCAGCAAACTAGGTATTTTGCATGGCGTGCAAGAGCGCCATGTGGTTTTCTATTTTGTGATTTTTTTTTAAACAGGGAAAACATTAATTACATTGTTTTTCTTTTTTTTGTTGTTTTTTTCTCTCTTTCATTTCCCTTTTTCTTGTCTCTCCACTCTCCAAATATCCATCTAATGTGTTTTTAGAAGGATCTAAGAGCACTGTAGCTAAACATCCAACTACTAATAGGGTTAAAATATTCCTCAATATCTACTGAATCTGCTGCACTAGCGA